CATCCTCTTTGCTCCCACCTCTCGCCATCTGCTGTCCTACTGTGGGTAGACGTCATATTTTACTGTTGGTGTTCCCTTTAGTACCCACACCCCCTGGGATTCTTCAGATTGTCATCAAATATCCACCCTCGGTACAGCGCTGACTGGATGTACAAGACCACTGGCTTGTTATCGCTTTCCACTAACATTGACTGTTTTAGAGTCTGTTTTTTGCTGTTCTCGCTTGTTTGTGGGCAGTTTGTCCGTAGATGGCCCCTTCCTCTTCCTCTTCCCTTATGAATGGCATGACAAATTGTCTGAAAATTTAGGCCTCCGTTAACCTGCTCTCCCTCTTCCCTTATAAATGGCATGACAAATTGTCTGAAAATGGATGAGAAACTGATTCCGGATGACAAGCAAAGGTTACTCACAATGGAGGAGCTGAGCAAAGTTGGTCAGACGGCGGAGAAAGCAAACTTGGAGAACTTACGAGCATGGCAAGAAACAAGTGAAGGGAGTCAGCTAAAGGATCAAAGGGAGAGTATGGATTGTGAAAAGGAGGAAGGAAGCACAGGCGGGGCAGCCTCACTTAGGAGAAGAGCAACAAGGGAGGGGTCGGAATCAGAGGACCACCGAAGTAAAAGGGCCCAGTCAAGTCAAAGAACAGACAGGGAAGACTTGGGAGAAGCGCAATCAAGACAGTCTCAGAAAGGTTCACAAGTACAGGGTAGAAGGGATGTGGTGGGAGAAGGAGCTGTGAGTGAAAAGGAAGATTCCATGGACACCACAGGACGGGGAGGAAAGCAGGACATCAGCCAGCAGGGCGACACCCAAGGTGACGCAGAGTAAATGGAGGAAGATACGAGCGCACAAGCGTCACAAGGAGAACAATCAGAGGGAGAGGAGGAAGGGGACAATGGATGCGAGGACGAGGAGGAGGAGCAGGAATGGGATTCTATGGAAAAATGGGAACAGTGTGTGCGCTACTTGGAATGGGAGAGGAAGATACAATGTGAAATCAGGCTGGCGCATCACAAACTCCTAATGCAACAGGCCACAACTGCAGCGGATGACATTTCCAGTGGAGAACAGCTTTGACGTGCTGCAACAGGAGAAAGAGGTGAACGAATTCTATGCAGCTCGATATGGGTGGAAGGCACAAGCTATCAAAAATGCCGTACGCGAGTAGGAGGAAAGGTACCACAAGCAGTTCGAATGGCCAGCAAGATATGAAGCAAAGGACTCCACCAAGAGGAGGCGGAAGAGGAGAGCTCAGTCCGCAAAACGAGGGAGACAGAGAGGAAGTGCAGTGCCAGCCGGAAGAGGAGAAGGAGGAGAACGCAAAGGAAGATCTGCGCAGACATCTTAGAGGCTCAGGTGAACGTGCCTGAGGACCAGAACGGATGATTAAACGAGCAAAGCATCAATCTGCAGATGATTGTAAAAGCTGAAAGAAATCGAAGCCGCGGCCAAGTTGGAAGTCATGAATGCAGGGAAGCATAGACTTGTACTGTCAAGCAGATGGAATGAGACACACAAAAACTGGGAAATCGCAAACCACAGATCCCTGGCCCTGTTCACAGTAGAAGACAGACAATGCACAAGAGGAGCCTTTGGAGAAACTAATCTCTGAAGGTCCGCTAAGGAGAGCGCTCGTGGTTGGGGAGGCAAATGATGAAAAGAAGAATGGGAGGACCAGAGCAGAATCAAACAGTACCGAGCCGTCGCAGGTAGGTAAAAGTCCGTAGGTACTGGTATAGGAAGTCCAGTCCCAAAGTCAAATTTTGCAGCAGCGTCCCAAGAAAGTCCAGAGTCTTCCGGAACACCAAATTTGGCAAGCAGAGGCTGCGGGCGACTGGTACCGGCTGGAAGCAGGCACGTACAGTCAACTGCAGCTATTAATAATTTAATAGCTGCTACAGTGCCAAAGCCAACATACTGTTCACTCGTGAACTTGCGGAAGCGCTGCTGGTTGCTTTTGTAGCAAGCGCTGGGAGGAAGAAGTCAGCCATAGTTAGGGTTAGGAGGAGGAGGAGGACGGTGGCCACAGCCGCAAGGTAGATCCTAGCAAGCAAGAGAGCGAGCTTGAGCGCAGAGAGGTTGACTGATACAAGACTTGAGCGAGAGAGAGTGGCACGCGCGCGCGCAAGAGAGAGAGAGAGAGAGAGAGAGAGAGAGAGAGAGAGAGAGAGAGAGAGAGAGAGAGAGAGAGAGAGAGAGAGAGAGAGAGA